TTCTCTGGTCTTGGTTGTGTAGTTTTCACATGCATATGAGACCATTGAAAATACCGTTGCTTGGGTCAGATACACCTTACTCTTCAAAGTCACATCTTTGCTCTTTAATATTTTAAAGAGATCTTGTGCAGCAGATTTGCTCAGTATACTATGTTTTATAATTTCTTGACTGCTACTTCCATGGGCATTGGTTTGGATTCAAGTAAAATGTAATCCTTGATAACTTTAGTCTTTCCTGCTTTTATCATGATAATGATCCCATTGTGGGGATTTTTGTTTTCTCTTTGTTTAGATATAATCCATACTGAAGAAAAAGGACTAGACACAGTCATTGATGAAAAGTCTTTGGTTTTCATCAATAAGTGTGTCGAGTTCTTTTTGCTTTCAGCAAGCAAGGTTGTGTTGTCTGACTATCACAGGTTGTTAATAAATCTTCTAATTCTGATACCACATTCTTCTCATGTAGTCCAGATTTTTGGGTTATTTGCTCAGCATACAGATTGAAAGAGTATGCTGAAAGGATATAACCCAGATGCACACCTTTCCTTATTTTAAACCATGCAGTATCTTCTTTTTCTGTTTGAACAACTCTCTCTCAGTCTGTGTACAGGTTTTGCATGAGCACAATGAAGTATTCTGGAATTCCCATTCTTTGCAGTGTTATGCATAATTTGTTGTGATCCACATATTTCAAAACTTTTGTATAGATAATGAAACACAGGTAAACGTGTTTCTGAGATTCTCTGCTTTCTGCCAATATTTCCTTGATGCCAGACATGATGCCCTTTGTTCCATACCTTCTGAATTTGGTTAGAATTTGGCTTAAGTTTCCTGTCATTGTTCTGCTTCAACCATTTTTGAACTATCTGTAGCAAAGTTTACTTGTATGTGATGTTGTTCAATAATTTCTGGATTCTGTTGTATCACATTTCTTTGAATAACACAATATAGATCTCTTGTAGTCTATTGACCAGGTAGCTATCTTCTAAATTTCTTGGCATAGATGAGTGAGTATGTCCAGTGTTGCATCATTTGTTGAAACATCTCAATTGGTGTTCTGTCAGATCCGGAGCTGTGTTTTTCTCCAGTGACTTCAGTGCAGCTTGACCTCCAGTACCATTGATTCTTCATCATACACTACCTCTTGTAATGGGTTGCACATTGACCCAACTGTTTTTGGTACAGTGACTCTTTTGTATTCTTCCACTTCTTTTGATGCTTCTTGCATCATTAAATATTTTATCCGTGGATTCCTTCAGTATTACAATTTGAGATTTGAATTTTTCTTCAATTCTTTCAGCTTCAGAAATGCTGAGTGTGCTCTTCACTTTTGGTTTTCAAACTCTAGGTCTTTGTACATTTCATGTAACACTTTGTCTTCTTGAACTGCTCTTTGAAATTTTCTATTAAGCTCTTTTTCTTCATCATTTGTTCTGTAGTAGCTTCCCTACATTCAAGAACAAGATTCAGTCTCTTCTGACATTTACTTTGGCCTCTCTCTCTTTTTTTTTTCCTATTTTTATTTGATAACCTTTTGTTTTCTTCCTATATGATATCCTTGATGTAATTCCACCACTTGTCTAGTGTTCAGTAATTAGTGTTCAGTGCATCAAATTTATTCTTGAGATGGTCTCTAAATTTAGTTGAGATATAATAAGGTCTTATTTTGGCTCTAATGGGTTTGGTTTAATTTTCTCCTGCTTCAAATTGCACTTGCATCTGAGCAATTAATGCTCTGTTCCAGTCAGTCCTGGCCTCATTCTAACTAGCAGTATTTAGCTTCTTTATTATCTCTTTCCATAGACGTAGTTGATTTGATTCCTGTGTGTTACATCTGGTGAGATCCATGTGTATAGTTGCTGTTTGTGTTGTTAAAGAAAGGTATTTGCAATATGTTGATGACCTTATAAAATTCAATCATATAGTATCTGGTATCGTTTCTATCCCAAAGCTGTATTTTCCATCTACTAACCCTTCTTTCTTGTTTTAGCTTTAACAATTTTGATCACCAATAATTATCAATGCATCTTCATTGTATATTAGATCAATTTCAGACTGTAGAAGTTGGTAAAAGTCTTCTGTTTCTTTATTTTTGGCATTAGTGGTTGGTGGATAAACTAGTAGTATTATTAAATGGTCTTGCTTGTGGCATATGAATATTATCCTATCACTGACAGTGTTGTGTGAGTTCCTTTTGACAGCTTCCAATTTTTCTAGATTTACATTTTGTACTTTTTATGTTCTTATTATTACTTGATGTTTTCAGCTATTTATTCTCATTTTGAGTCATGACACATCAGCAAATTAAGGTCCCAAAAGCTTTGCTCCTTTCAGGATCACTAAGGTTAAGTCTATTTTGAGGAGACAGCTCTTTCTTAGAGTGCCTTCCACCGTGAGGAACTTATCTTCTGATACTACAACAGACAGTGTTCTGCTTCTGTTTATAGTTTTTCACTAGACAATATTTAAAAATAAAATGTATTTTCAGGCCTTCTTTCTAGTCTGCCTTGGTCTGGAAACTCACTGAAATCTGTCCATGACTGACCCTGTTGGTATTTGAAATATTGGTAGCATAGATTTCAGCATCACGGCAACACGCAAGCTATCATAGTACCGCAAACTGACTTTTGATACACAACATCAATATGCTTGCATTTTATATATATACCTGTGCACTTCCTGGAGGTTATAACATAGAAGAAAGTTGACATCTAGCTATTCTAAATTTAAGTATGGAATTGAGAGAGAATAGTGATAGGACTGTTTTTAAAAGGACGTTTGTCTTAAATGTATAAATTTCTTAGGTTCACAATTCTCTTGAGCATTGGTTACCTATACTTTTGGAATAAAAGTTGGTTAAATTTTATTTCATCTTGAAGAAACAATTTATTTTTTGTATGTATTTAAAATAAAATTATAAATATGCTAGGGACTATTATTTGTGATGCATTTAAAGTTAAGTCTTTACTAGAAAACTTAAATAGAAATTTAAAAAATGAAATTCAAGCTTTTCATTTCTATTATCATTTCTCATGTTTTAGCTGCAACAAATATGAAGTGGATTGAAGCAAAAATGAAAGTAAGTCTTAGAAAACAATCCATTTACTAATGCTTTGAAACTGCATTTTTCTTGATAGAAGTTTTAGGAATTAGCCTTATCCTCATTACTTAGTAACAAGCAAATACAAACATCAGGAGTAGAAGTGTGCTAAAGTCTATTTAAAGATGGAGTATACTGAACACCTGAGTGGTTTTCAAGAAAAAGCACCACTTACCTCCACTGGCTTTTCTTTTCCCAATTTATAATACTGATTTCTTTTACTTCTTTTGCTCTTATGTGCAATATTTAAAGGGCTAATGCTCTTCTAAAATGATACATTAGGAAGCAATCTGTTTATAGTTTACTTTCTTTGGACTACCTGCACCATTTATTGTCTTAGCTGAATGAAATTAAAATGCATGGTGATTGTTTAGCAAGATGTGGTGAAGGGGTTAGAAAATGGGCATTATGGGAGATAGCAGCCTGACATTTCCCACAGTCTTACATTTTAATTATATGATTATTTGTGTTTGTAGGAGCTGGGAGTGAGCACAAATGCAAACTACAAGATTACCTTTATGTTGGACAGTGCTGCTATGATAACAGTGCACACTCCAAGGAGAGGATTAATAGATGTGAGAAGTCATTTTACTTCTGTTTAAAGGCCTGCTAATTTTCTGTATTTATGCTGATAGAGTAACCTACAGAGCTTAGAAATTCACCTGAGTGGATAGTAAAGTGACAGTTCTGTTCCTTTGACACAGGAAAGTATATCAGGTTTAAAAGTTCCACATTTTAATTATAAAATTAAAGACTTTGAGACAGGACTGTCAAGAATGGAACTTGTGGTTATGGAAAACTCTCCTGTAGCTGAACACAGAGTAAGTGAGAAAAGTACTGAGTATTATCAAGGAATGTGCTGTTTGTTAAGTGCTGTTGAGTCGGTTCTGACTCATAGCAACCCTGTATAGAGTTTTCGAGGAGCAGCGGTTGAGTTTGAACCATGGACCTTGTGGTGCAAACTGACCATGCGGTCCAGTGCTTTATTCCACAGTGCCATGCAAGGAATATTTGCTTGATGGTTGCTAAGTGCCGTTGAGTTGGTTCTGATCCATAGCGACCCTGTGCAAGGTTTCTGAGGAGCAGGTGGTGAGCTTGAACTGCTGACCTTGCAGTGCAAATGGCTTTGCAGTCCTGGTGCATTAACCCATAGCGTCACACCAGGACTCCACACAAGGAATATAGGAGCAATGAAATCGGTAAACAGAATGCCATGATGCTTGAGCCTTGTATAGTCAGAGTGCTCCTTAGAAGTCAGGATGGTGAGATTTTGTCTCTCCTACTTTGACTATGTTATCAGGTGGGGTCAGTCCTTTGTCAAAGGACATCATGTTTGTTAGAGTTCTAGTTAGTGAAAAAGAGGAAGACCCCCAATGAGATGGATTGACATAGTGGGCTTAAGCCTAACAATTGTAAACATGGCACAGGACTGGGCAATGTTTCATTCTGTGTGCATAAGGTAACTGTGAGTCGAAACCAAATTGATGGCACCTAACAACAACAGGAAGTTACTTGCTTCTTTTCCAAACTTTCCAAATACTTGGAGAGAAATACGTGGGTCACTCAAAAAGTACTGCTACAAAATCATAGCTATCCCTTATTAAACAGAAATATCAAAATATGAAACTACTGTTTCTCAGCATATCCTCTGTCTCGGTCTATACATTTCTGAAGGTAGTGTTTCCATCTCTCTAACCCTTCCCGCAAAGAATTCTGCATTTTTTGATTTACACCACGTGAAAATGGCAGTTTTGACATCTTTGTTAAGTTCTTGTTAAGTGCAGTTGTGTCGGTTTCTACTCATAGTGACCCTGAACAGGGTTTCTGAGGAGTAGATGGTCAGTTTGAACTACTGACCTTATGGTTCCCAGTACAGTGTTGATTATCCACAGTGCCACACCAGGAATCCTTGTTAAGTGCCATCGAGTCGATTCCAACCCATAGCGACCCTGTATAGGGTTTCCAAGGAGCAGTTGATGAGCTTGAACCACCGACTTGTAGTTCAAGCAACTTTGCTGTCTGACACATTAGCCCACAGCACCATACCAGGAGTTTATTTTGCATGCTGCTCTAGTTTTTTGTTAAGTGCTGTTGAGTCAGTTCTAACTCCTAGTGACTCTGAATAGGGGTTCTGAGAAGCAACTGGTAGGTTTGAACCACTGACCTTGTGGTTCAAACCAACCTTGCGGTCCATTGCTTATCCTACAGTGCCATACCAGGACTCTTTACGTTTGGGGAACAAAAAGTTCAAAGTGGCCAGATCAGAGATTTAGGGTAAATGGGTTAGGATTTCCCAACAAAATTCTCTTAAGATATAACCTTGTTACCCTGTAACCATGAGCAGATACAGTGTAGTGATGGGAAAAAATTCCTTGTCGTAACTTTCCTGATTATTTTCTGAACAATGCAGGTTTTAATTTTTTTAATACTTCTTGTTTATAAGTCTCCATGATCATCCTGTGTCATTCAAAAAAAATCTGTCAACATTATCCCTTTGGGGACCCCCCCTAAAAGTCACCATAACCTTCTGAACTGACCTCTACCTGGAAGTTAACTGGCCCAGCAGACCCCCTCAGAAGTCACTGTTTTGATTGGATATATATACTTTTGAACTGGATATTTTTCAAAAGCATCCTAAGAAGACTAAGAAAAATGTATTATTGAGAGAACTTGTCTGTAGCCATTCACTGATTGCAGGGACATGTTTAAGCACATGTTTAAAATAAATCTATGTATGCATGTATGAATAGCACCTTAGTAGCAATATTTCTTAACTTATCCTCGTATATAGAACTGGCACAATAACCAGATTGTTGGTTTGCTTTGCTAACAAAAAGCCTTAAGAAATATGCCAACAGAGTTCAGCCTTTATGACACTCACAGTTAAAAATCCTGCATCTTCCTCAGTAGTGCTATCATTTTATAATTAGGTCAAGTACCATTTGTCCCCCAAAACATGGGCTACTTTGTTCTCAGTTATAAAAGTAATAGCTGACTGAAGAACAATGTAAAGAAAAGCATAAAGAAACATTTAAGTCACCTAGAATTTAGTATCAGGGCTAACAATGAGATACTCTCATGTACTTACTTCTAGTCTCTTTTTATAAGGGACTCCTGGTGTGGTGCTTTAGGATCAGCACTGGACTGCTAACCAAAAGGTTGCTGGTTCAAACCCACCAGCTGCTCCTTGGAAACCCTATACAAGGTTGCTATGAGTTGGAACCAACTGGACAGCACTTACCAACAACAGCTTTTTTGGAAACAGCAGTAGCCTCAGGGAATTCACACATACTTTGGTAAGCTAAGGAGAACCCTGAACCAAACAAAGGCTAGCAACTATTTCCTTAACAGTTTCCCAATACAGCTAAAATACTTCTTTCACTTTAAGGATGTGTCATCAAAAAAATTTTGCATCATTAAATATTCTATAGCATCAAATTATTAATTGCATTATATTATCAGATGAATAACAGTTTATCCAATTATCTGTTGCTGGATATTTAGGATTATTTTTAGAGTCCTGGTGTGATGCTGTAGGATAAGTACTGAACTGCTAACCAAAAGGTTAGTGGTTCAAACCCACCAACCCTATACAGGGTTGCTATTAGTCGGAATAAACTGGACAACACTTAACAATAACAACAAAAACACTTCTATGCTTAACATTTTTAAACCTATTTTTACTTTGAGATTTGTAATTGTACTACTTTAGTAGACCATAAAGGAGCTCTGGTAGCGTAGTGGTTACAAATCAGGCTGCTAACCTCAAGGTCAACAGTTCGAAACTACCAACTGTTCTGCGGGAGAAAGATGAGGCTTTCTGCCCCTGTAAAGATTTATAGCCTCGGAAACCCTGTACAGGGTCGCTATGAGTCGGAACTGACTCCACGGCACATAACAACAACAAGAAGTAGATCATAAACTAAATGTAGCATGTCCCTGATTTGTTTATTGAAATAGTTCCATGCACTTAAACTGTTTATGATTTTGACTATTTTAATAACTGTCTTAAGTTTTCCTAGTATCCAACATTCTTCCTAGTTCCTATTAGTTTATGTGCTTACAGATGGCATGGGGCCCATACCTCATTCATCCAATTATACCCAAAGTATTACAGAGCTCTGCAGATAGAAGTGCTCAGTAATGTCACTGGATGATAGACAAAGTGAAGAACTCTAATCATTTTAACCTGGTCGTTTGCCTCTAATGGTCATGCAGCCCTTATAGAGGTCTGTGGATATATGAAAAGGAGAAAGTGTTCAGTTTTGTCTATATTCAAAAGACTTAAACTTATCTTGCCACAATGACCATAAGAATACAGTATTTTCCATCATTTTGTAATTAAATTATTACTTCTCATTTCACCCCAGATCTTCATTTTAAAATTGGCAAGTCATATGGGTTTCGTTCAGTTTTTGTTAAGTGCTGTTGAGTCAGTTCTGACCCATAGCAACTCTGTATAGAGTTTCTGAGGAGCGGCTGGTGAGCTTGAACCACCAACCTTGCAGTTCAAATGGCTTTGCAGTCTGGCGCATTAACCCACAGCGCCACACCAGGACTCCTTAGTTCAGTTAGGACTGGACAGACTTCGGAAGTGAACACTGTGTGATACATAGGACATTAAAGTGAATTGCAACTTGTTCTGATCAGTGTTATACAGTTGTTATCTTAACGGGGGAAAGGAACACTCCCATAGTTTTTCCAGTGCATTTTGTAATATTTCTGCCTTTTTCATTTAAATCTAAACTTTTGTTTAGGTAAAACCTCTTGGTGTTATATGGGGAAAATTTTCAGAATTTTACAGCAAAAAAAACACGATTATGTTTGATGATATAGGAAGAAATTTTCTAATGAACCCACAGAATGGATTAAAGGTAAGGCAATTTTACTTACTACATACTTACGTAATCTGGAAGAGGAGGTGGTAGAACTTTAAGAAATGGTTGACTTTCATGAAGTTATTTATGTACAGTATTCTTATGTCATTGGCAAGAAAAGCTTAAGTATTTAGAATATAGGTAAAACTGAACATGTGGCATTGATATCTTCTTGGTTAGTCAGCTCATCCAAGTGTCTTATTTTTAATAAGTTCTAACCTGCAACATGAACTTGTACTGTTAAACTTTGCATCAGAAGTGAAATAATCAGACATTTTATTTGGAATTTTAGAATTTCTGATATTCTTGGAGAATTGGCAGTTAAGGTTTTTTAAAAATTGAAATTAAGAAGGGGTTTTTGAACTTCATAGAGGGCAAGTAGATGTTACAGTGATAAAATGGCAGTGTTAGAAGGAGCCTCTATGGGCTAGGAGCTGGGCTGTGGTTGGAACCCACCAGTGTTCCACAGGAGAAAGATGAGGCTGTCTACTCCCTTAATGTCTCGGAAATCTTACCTAGGGTCGCTTTGAGTCTGCACTGACTAGATGGTAATGGGCTTGGCTTTTTTGGTTTTAGAAGGACGTCATTTATCTTGTCCACCTACTTTATAGAAAGTTCATGGCTTTCCTAAGGTCCTCTTTGTAAGTGGGAAACGGTAGAATTTGAGTTAGAGTCTAAGTGATTTGGTTCTAGTTCAGTGATGATCTTAGCACGCAATCTTGTGTAGACATGACAGTAACAATCTTGGTGTGTTGGAAATGGTTGTTGTAGTTAGCAGTCCAGTGCTTATCTTACAGCATCACACCAGAGTTCCTATAATCTTAGTTGTTGTTAAGTGTTGTCAAGTTTGCTTTGACTCTTAGTGACCCAGTATAGGGTTTCCGAGGAGCGTCTGAACTGCCAACCTTGCAGTTCAAACCGACACTGCAGTCCAGTGCTTTATCCCACAGCACCACACCAGGACTCCCATAATCTTGGTGGGGTGGTGGTGGTAAGTGCCGTTGAGTCGGTTCCAACTCATAAGGCCCCTGTATGAGGTTTCCGAAGAGCAGCTGGTGAGCTTGTGGTTCAAACCAATCTTGGAGTCCTGTGCATTAACTCACAGCACCACACTAGGTAGCAGCGTAAAATTAGAAACTTAAAATTTCCAGAATATGGGTCAGCCTTTGAAATGCTTTTAAAATGCTATCATGGTACTAATGCAAATAGAGTCTCCACTATAGTGGAAATTCTAACATTAAGATTAAGTACGGAATGAGGATTAGGGTTGGGATTGTGACTAAGTCTTGGTTAGCCTAGTAGAACTTTGTTTATTGTTACGGTTATGGTTAGGACTAGGGTGAGTGTTAGGGCTAAGGGTTGAGCTAAGGCTAGGAGCAAGACTGGATCTAGTTTTTTGGGTTAAGTGTTGTCAAGTCGGTTCTGACTAACAGCAACCTTATTCAGGGTTTCCAGGAGAAGCTGGTGAGTTTGAACCGCTGACTTTGTGGTTCAAACCGACCTTGTGGTCCAATGCTTATCTTACAGCACCACACCAGGACTCATTTTAGGGTTATTATTGTTGCTGTTAAGTGCCATTGAGTCAATTTTGACTCATAGCGACCCAGTATAGGGTTTCCAAGGAGTGGCTGATGAGTTCGAACTATTGATCTTGTACTTAAAACCAATCTTTCGGTCCTGTGCTTAACCCTACAGCACCACACCAGGATTCCTTAAGGGTTATATTTAAGTTTATTTTTATTTATTTTGCTTTTTCTTGACATCATTTGAAAGTTATGTAACTGCATTACTCTCTCAGTTTTTTTTTTGTTGTTGTTGTTGTTGCGGTTGCATCTTTGCTTCTTTTTTTTTTTTTTTTTTCATCTGCTTTCATTTTATTGAAACTACTACAAGATTTCTGGCATTTCAGATTCCACTTTGCATATTTTCTTCTATTTTAATGTTTTCTAAGTCTCACACTAATTCTCAGTTAATATTGAATTATCATTAAGATACATTTGTTGTAAAATACATACAACACATTTGCCAATTCATCATTCTTAGAAGTACAATTCAGTGGTAGTACACTAATCTCTAAACTCCCCATCACCATATATAGAAATTCACTGCTTCCCAGTGACTTAGCCAGTCAATCCCAAGCTCAGTAACCACTGTTGTTTGGTCTCTGTACTTTTTGCCAATTCTAGTTTTTTTTTCATGTAACAGCATACAATAAGGGAGCATCAGAACATTTATTGGAAAATATTAACTTCTCACAAACTCATTGCCCCATCATGCATGTTGTTTTGTGACGATCTCACTCAACATCTTTTTAAGGTTCATCCATGTTAACATGTACCAGCACGTCATGTGTCTTTAAGGCTGAGTAGTATTCCATTGCATGTTTGTGTTTATTGACTGTCATCAGTTGGTAGACACGTGCTTGCTGTTTGGCTGTTGTGCATGCATTGGTTTGTGTCACTGCTTTTAAGATTCTTGGTTATTTTTCCATGTATACCAGTGACACAAG